TCCCTCGGGCCTAAACCGGCCGTCGGACATCCCTCTCACAATCCGGGACTGCTGGCTCCCAACCGCTCGCCTGCCTGCTTGCCTTATTGCCCCTAACTGCTTCTGCCTGCCAGCCTGATTGACCCCTAACCACTCCCCTGCCAGCCCGATCACCCCCAACTGCCCTCCCCTGCCAGCCCGGTTGCCCCTAACTACCCTCCCCTGCTGGCCCGGTCGCCCCCAACTGCCCTCCCTTGCAGGCCTGGTCGCCCCTAACTGCCCTCTCCTGATGGCCTGATCGCCCACAACTGCCCTCCCTTGCCAGCCATCTTGTGGTGGCAATCTTGTGACCACATGGGGCGGCCATCTTGTGCTAGGGTATGACGGTCAATTTGCTTATTACCTCTTTACTATATAGGATAAGATTGATCTATTTATATACATGTTTATGTTAAATATTTTCCTTTAAAAATATATTCTGATATTGGTAATCCAAATAATTATATATTAAGAATTAATATTAAATTTCCAAGTTCCTTATGGAATTTATTAAAACACATTCACAATTAAGACATTGCTCCCTACTTTCCAAATGACCCATTTCCTAATAATAATGATTAATTTTTTTGAAATGTCTTGTTTATTATTATGATTTTTTTTATATATATTTTATTGATTTTTTTACAGAGAGGAAGGGAGAGAGAGATAGAGAGTTAGAAACATCGATGAGAGAGAAACATCGATCAGCTGCCTCCCGCACATCTCCTACTGGGGATGTGCCCGCAACCCAGGTACATGCCCTCGACCGGAATCGAACCTGGGACCCCTCAGTCCGCAGGCCGACGCTCTATCCACTGAGCCAAACCGGTTTTGACTATTATTATGATTTTAAAAAAAAACATACATTTTACCATCTTAACCATTTCTAAGTTCAGTTTAGTATTGTGAAGTATGTTCATATTGTGCAACCAGTCTTCAGAACTTTTTGATCTTGCAAAACTGAAAATGTACCCATTAAACAGCTTCTCATTTCCCCTCCCTCAGCCCCTGGCAAACATTCTAGTTTTTGTTTCTGTGAGTTTATGATTTGTCTTATTTTTACAGTGTGACCTTCTTTATTCTTCTAGGGTGAATAACTGTGTGGGATTTTCTAATTACAAATTCTTCCTGCTGTTTTTATTGTATTCCCTATTATATTGCCTGTTCGTGGCTACAACAGTTTTACAGTACTTTATAAAATTTTGGACGGTAAGTCTTTTTTTATCCGAAAACATGTTTAAGACTTTTTAAAATGCTCTATTCATAAATAATTTATTCTTTATTACAAGTAGATATACTTTATTTTAATTTTACTAGTTAGAATTTATAATGGATCAGAGGGCAAACAGGGTAATATTTTCCTACATGTATACATGTTTATTTTAAGTAAATGAATATTAAACAGGATGTAGTGAGCTTCTTTTTAGTGATCCAGACTGTTTTCAGCCACACTCTTAATAGTGGACATAACAATTTTAGGGAAGTAATTGCTTTTATTTGAGTTGATGAGACTTACTGAAGTTTTATAGTAATAAAACTGATATTCTCAAGCCTATATAATCACTAATCTCTGTCATATCTGTATAGACATTAATCCTTTTTCTATCATGAGTTGCAAATGTTTTTTCCACATTTTCATTTTATATCTTACTAGAGGCCCGATGCATGAAATTTGTGCATGGGTAGGGTCCCTAGGCCTGGCCAGCGATCAGGGCCAATCTGTGGGGTGACCAGCGGGGCGATCAGGGGACCCCCGCTGGCACCCACCTTGGCTAGCCTGGGGCCTGCAAACTCGGGGTAGCTTCTGCATTGAGCGTCTGCCCCCTGGTGGTCAGTGCATGTCATAGCAACCGGTCGTTCTGCCATTTGGTCGATTTGCATATTAGGCTTTTATTATATAGGATAACCCTGCTTTATTTTTATCAAATCAAAGTTTTATATTTTAAAGCAATACTTTTTAAAAAATATATATTTTATTGATTTTTTACAGAGAGGAAGGGAGAGGGACAGAGAGCTAGAAACATCGATGAGAGAGAAACATCGATCAGCTGCCTTCTGCACACCCCCCACTGGGGCTGTGCCCGCAACCAAGGGGCATGCCCTTGACAGGAATCGAACCTGGGACCCTTCAGTTTTCAGGCCGATGCTCTATCCACTGAGCCAAACCGGTCAGGGCTAAAGCAGTACTTTTTTAATGACTTCCAATTTTAAGGGTTTTTTAAATTTAAAAGCAGTACTTTGTATTTATGATTCCTGGCTTTAGTTTGTTTGCTATAAATTTCTTCTGGAATTTTTGTTTGTGTTTTCACATTTAATTCTTTGATTTTGAAAGGGGGGTTGTTGTGGTTGAAAAGTACTTTTGGCCCTGGCCTGTGTTACTCAGTGGTTAGAATGTTGGCCCACGCACCAAAGGGTCATGGGTTCGATTCCCAGTCAAGGGTATGTACTTGGGTTGCAGTTCGATCCCCGACCCCTGTCGGGCTGCTTGCAGGAGGCAACCAGTCAGTGTGTCTCACATTGATGTTTCTCTCTCCCCCCCTCTTTCCCCTCCTTCCCTTCCACTCTGAAAAGCAATGGAAAAAATATCCTCAAGTGAGGATTAAAAAAAAAAAGTACTTTAGGAATTTATTCCTAAAAACCCTCTGAAGGTGTTTTAAAATACAGGTTTTGTTATTATTCAGGTATGGTGAAGCCAACAGATAAGGAGGTAATTACCATTGAAAGGATAGTTTGTCACTCACAGTTCCCAAGGGCGAAGGCATGCCATACCGTGCTATACCACACAGAGCCACACAGGGAAGCACTGGGGTCATGCAGTAAGCAGAAGGGGCAAGCCCAGAGCCTTTATTGTGGTTTCTGCAGGAAAGGCAGGGCATTGTAGGGCACGGGGATTTATAATTAACCAGTTTGAATAATTCAGTACTCTCTGGGCATACAGGCTGTTCCTGGTTGTCTGATACTTAACTCTAGGGCAGGGGAATATTGCATCCTAGAGTGTAAGAGTCAGGCAGAGGGGGTGGTTTGGAATTTGGGCTCTAACTGGTTGGTTTGTACATGAGAGATACATTCCTTGCTATCTCTTAAGAATTAGATAGCCCTGGGAGTGGCAGTTTCTTCCCAGTCAGCAAGGCCCAAGATATCAGAGCATCAAGAACATAGAAAATAAGAAAGTATACTTAATGCAGAGGGGCTATTATTATTATTCCAATTTTCAGAGTTGGAAAATGAGGATAGAGAAGTTAGATAACTACCCAAGGTCACATATTTAATAGTATTGGAAGCCAGAATTTTAACTGACATCTGTCTATTCCAACATACAGATACTTACCACTATGACTTGCTATTCATAATCATAGTTGGGAAGAACATAATTAAAGGCTCAAGTCATAAAACACAGTTATTTTTTCATGAAATACCTAATACATTTTGGAAGGATTTTATTTAAAACATCACTAGATGTTTAAAATTTGGGTATTTAAAACCAGGGGATGCTGACATTGCCTTTGAGCATGTTAGAAAAGAGCACCCCATATCTATGTGGTCTTAGCCTAATGAATTTTGGCCTCTATTGTTTCCCTACCTTGGTATCTTTGTTCAGTTTACAACCTACTTAACCATACTCAATGGCCCTATTTAAAGGAAAAGGATTCAGTTCTAGATGAATGAAGTCCAAATTATAGAATTTCTCATTTCTTTATCAGAAACTTCAGCACTGTTTGCATGTAATGATTTATTAATTAAGGAATATTAACTTTTTTAGGTTAATCATGTTAAGAAAGTCTAGTAAACTTAAATCTACCTTTTTCTTCATTTGTTCAACAAGTATTTACTTACCACCTATAATGTGCCAGGCAGTATTCTAGGCACTTGGGATATATCAGTGAACAAAACAAAGAGTAATGTCTTTGGAAGAAGGAATCAAATAATAAACATAATAAATAAGTAAATTATATATTAGAAAGTAAATGCTGTGAAGAAAATAAAACTAGGGTAAGGGATTTGGCAAGTGTATGAGAGTGGGTAGGATAGGTACAGTTTGCAGCATTAAAGAGAGTGATCAGGTAGACCTCAGTAAGAAGTTTTGAGGAAAGACATTAAGTTAGTGGATATCTGAGAGAAGAACATTTATGCACACAACACAGGAGCACCTAAATATATAAAGCAAATATTATATTAACAGACTTAAAAGGAGATATAGCCCGGCTGGTGTTGTGCAGTGATTGAGTGTTGACCTATGAACCAGGAGGTCACAGTTCCATTCCCAGTCAGGGCACATGCCCGTGTTGCAGGCAGGAGGCAGCCAATCGATGATTTTCTCTCATCATTGATATTTCTATCTCCTCTATCCCTCTCCCTTCCTCTCTCTGAAATAAATTTAAAAAATATTTTTAAAAAGGAGATATAGACAGCAATACAATAATAGCAGGGGACTTTAATACCCCACTTTAATCAGTGGATAGATCATCCAAACAAAAAGTCAATAAAGAAACATCTACCTCACCCTAGCTGATTTGGCTCAGTGGATAGAGCGTCAGCCTGCAGACTGAAGGGTCCCGGGTTTGATTCCAGTCAAGGGCACATGCCTGGGTTGCAGGCTCCATCCCCAGTAGGGGGCATGCAGAAGGCAGCCAATCAATGATTCTCATCATTGATGTCTCTCTCTCTCTCTCTCTCTCTCTCTCTCTCTCTCTCTCTCACTCTCTCTCCCTCCCTCCCTCCCCCTCTCTCAAATCAATAAAAACATATTAAAAATAAATAAATAAAAATAAAAAATGTGTTTAAAAAAAAAGAAACATCTACCTCAAATGACACATTAGTCCATATGTACTCAACAAACATGTAGTGAACAGTCCATCAAAAAACCACAGAATACACATTCTTCTTAAGCACACATGGAACATTCTCAAAGATCTAAACAATAGATCTTTTTTAGTCAAAAAAACAAGTCTTAATAAATTTAAGAAGATTGAAATCATACAAAGTATCTTTTCCAACCACAATGGTATAAAACTAGAAGTCATTTACAAGAAGACAACTGGGAAATTCACACATAAGTGTACATTAAATGGTACTGAACAACCAGTGGATCAAAGAAGATATTAAAAAATACCTTGGGACAAATGAAAATGGAAGTAAAACACACCAAAACTTACAGAATGCAGCAAAAGCAATTCATAGAGGGAAGTTCATAGTGATAAGCACCTACGTTAAGAATTAAGAAAGATCTCAATGCAACTTCAAAACTCAAGAACTAGGAAACAAAGAACAAATGAAGCCAAAGTCAGCAGGAAGAAGGAAATAACAAAAATCAGATCAGGGTTCATTCAGAATTCAGCTACCAGGGAGATTAAAAATGGTGGTGGAGTAAGTGGATGCTACACAGACACGTTCCCAGGACCAATGAGGTATTACCTCACACCTGTCAGAACAGCTACCATCAACAAATGACAAGCACTGATGAGGATGTGGAGAAAAGGGAACCCTAGTACAGCTAGTGGGAATGCAGACTGGTGCAGCCATTATGAAAAACAGTATGGAGTTTCCTCAAAAAATTAAATATGGAACTGCCATTTGACCCAGTGAGGAATATATCCTAAGAAACCGGAAACACCAATTAGAAAGAAAGTATGCATCCCTATATTCATAGCAGCACAATTTACAATAGCTAACATCTGGAAACGGCCCAAGTGCGCATCAGTAGATGAGTGGATAAAGAAGCTGTGGTACATTTACAGCGTGGAATACTATGCAGCAGTAAAAATAGAAGGATCTGTTACCCTTTGAGAGAGCATGGAGGGACCTTGAGAGTGTTACGCTAAATGAAGTAAGCCAGTCAGAAAAAGATAAGTATCACATGATCTCACTCATGTGGAATCTAATTAACAAACTCGTGAATGGAGTGGTTCCAGAGATATGGAACAGAGTGGGTAATCTCAGAGGGAAGGCAGGTGAGGGTGAGTGTGGATGGGTGGGAGGTGATCAACGAAAGAACTTGTATGCATATATGCATAACCCATTGTCATAGACAATAGGGTGGTGAAGGCAGGGGGCGGGGGCGAGTTGGAAGGGGTCTATGGGAGGAAAAGGGACATATGTAATACTTTCAACAATAAACAAAAAATTCAACTAACGTCTACAAATTTAAAAAAATAGATCAGAAATCAATGAAATAGACTTAAAAAGAAAATAGAAAAGATTAGTGAAAACCAGAGCTGGTTTTTGTAAAGAGAAACAAAAATAAACAAACCGTTACCTAGACTCACCAAGAATAAGACAGGACTCAAATAAAATTAAAAAATGAAAGAGGAGACATTACAACTGATACCACAGAAATACAGAGGATTATAAGAAGCTATTATTAACAATTATATGCCAAGTATTAAGACAACCTAGAAGAAATGGATAAGTTCTTAGAACCATACAACCTTCCAACACTGAATTATGATGAAATAGAAAATCTGCACAGACTAATTACTAATAAAAAATTACATGCTAAAATCCTTGGTGAACATAGATACAAAAATCCTTCCACAGAATATTAGCAAACTGAATTCAGTAATGCTTTAAAAGAATCATACACCATGATCAAGTGGGATTTATTCCAGGGATGCTTCACCATCTACAAATTCATCAATGTGATACACCCCATTAACACAATGAAGGATAAAAATCATGTTCATCTTAATAGATTCAGAAAAAGACATTTGTTAAAATTCAACTCTGTATACAAAACTCAACAAAGTGGGTATAGAGGGAACATACCGCACCATAATAAAGGCTATATTTATATATATAAATATATAAGTGCACAGCTAACATCAACTGTGAAAAGATGAGTGCGGTTCCTCTAAGATAATGAACAAGACAAGGATGCTCACTTGTTTATTCAACATAATATTGGAAGTCCTACCCAGAGCTATTGGGCAAGATAAAGACATTGCCCAGCCAGTGTGGCTAGGTGGTTCAACATTGACCTATGAACTGGGAGGTCATGGTTCCATTCTCCGTCAGGGCACATGCCTGGGTTGTGGGCTTGATCCCCAGTGAGGTTCGAGTGGGAGGCAGCCACTCATCGATGTTTCTACTCTTTCCCTCTCCTTTCCTCTCTGAAATAAATATACTTTTTTAAAAGTTACTAAACTACTTAAAAAAAAAGAAATCAAGACTTTGATATTGGAAAGGAAGAAGTAAAACTGTCTATTTGTAGATGACATTCTTTATAGAAAACCCTAAAAAGTCCATCAAAAAACTTAGAATTAACAAATTCAGTAAAATTGTACGATATAAAAATCAGTACAGAAAAATCAGTTGCATTTTGCTACACTAATAATCAGAAAGAGAAAGCATTCCCATTTACAATCATACCACAAAGAATAAAATACCTAGGAATAAATTTAAGGAGGTGAAAGACCTGTTATACTGAAAACAGACATTGATGGTAGCATTTGAAGACGACACAAATAAATGGAAAAATAGTCTGTGTGCATGGATAGGAAGAATTAATATTGTTAAAAGGTTCAGACTACCTAGAAGTGGTCACTGGGGGAAAAGGGGGACATATGTAATACTTTCAACAATGAGTTTTTTTTTTAATGTTCAGACTATCAAAAATAATTTACAGATTCAATTCAATTCCTATCAAAATTTCAATGGCATTTTTCCACAGAAATAAGCAGTCCTAAAATTTGATAGGCAGATGAAAGGGGGTGGAGGAGGTAGAAGAGGGTAAAGGGGGGATAATGGTGATGGAAGGAAACTTGACTTAGGGTGGTAAACACACAATACAATATACAGATGATATGTTGTAGAACTGTGCACTTGAAACCTATATAATTTTATTAACCAATGTGACCTCAATGAGTTCATTAAAAAAGAAAACTACCATATGATCGAACAATTCCACTTCTGGAAATATAGTCAAAAGAAACAAAAGTAATTATCTCAGAGAGATATCTGTAACTCCATGTTCATAGCAGCATTATTTACATTAGTGAAGACATGGAAACAACCTAAGTGTCCATCGACAGATGAATGGATAAAGAAGAAGATGTGGTATCTTTATACAATGGGATATTATTCAGCCATAAAAAAGAAGGAAATTCTGCCACTTGGGACAACATGGATGGTACTTGAAGGCATTTTTGTAAATGTAATTAGTCAAAGATAAGTAATTATGATCTCACTTATATGTAAACATAAAAAAAACACACCAGCTAATAGATCTAGAGATTGGTGGTTGACAGAAGTAGGGGGTGGGGAATGGGTGAAGTGGGTGGACATAGTAAAAATAAAATAGACCCTGGAGATGTAATGTTCACTATGGTGATTACAGTTAATAAGGATATTTGAAAGTTGATAACAGTATATCTTAAAAGTTCTCATCACAAAAAAATTATAACCATGTGAGGTGATGGATGTTAACTAGACTTACTGTGGTGATATTTCACAGTACATACAAATATCAAATCATTATGCTGTGCACCTGACACTAATAAAATGTTGTGTCGGTTATATCTCAACTAAGGAAAAGAAAAGTGATCAGGATAGACCTAAGTAAGAAATAATATTTGAGCAGAGACTTAAAGAGAGTTTGGGGATATCTGAGAGTACAGAATTTCAAACAGAGGAAAAGATCTGAAATTAGGAGTGTTCCAGCCATGTTTGAGCAGGAGAAAGTAATCTGGTGTGGCTGAGGGGGTGAGCAAGAGTGAGACTAGTGGGAAGTCCCTGATATGGGCCCCCAAAATAAAGAGCCTTGGAAAGTGTAGTAAGGACCATGGCTTCTACTCAGTGAAATGGGAACAGCTGTGATGTGAAGGATCACTGATTGCTGTGCTGACACTAAAACAGAAAGGGGCAAGCGACAACCTTTTAAAAGGCTATTGCAATAACAATGAAGGGGATAAGAAATTGTCCCATCTGGATCTAGAAACTGCTAATTAGACGTTTTTTTTAAAAGCTACTTGATTTCAGAGAGAGAAAGTGAGAGGGAAAGAGAGAGAGAAAGATCAATGATGAGAGAACCATTGATCAGCTGCCTCTGCATGCCACACACTGGGATCGAGCCCCAAACCTCAAACTGTGACCTCCTGGTTGGTTCATAGGTCAACACTGAACCACTGAGTCACACCGGCTGGACTATTTGCTAAAATTTTTAAATTTTATTATATCTTAAATACATATTTGTTTAAAACACAATGGAAAAGTGTGTATTTAAAGTATACCTGAAATGTGCTTGAAGAGCTAAATGTTCTTGTTTGTTTTGTGTTTTTTGAGAAAATGTTGTCAATGATTTTTAGAGAGCAACATCTTAGTGTTCCTTCAAAACAAAAATATAACGGTAGTGTTCAGAAAAATGTTGTTTAAAAATTGGTTTCTTAATACATTGTCTCTATTTGTACAAGCTTTGCCGCAGGAAGTCTACACAGAGTTGTCCAAAGGTAAAACACATTACTGCCATGACATTTTTGTCATCTCCTTTGTGATGTTTGTAGTGAATATACACATAAATATATTTATTTGCTTCACAAGAAGGGAGATAGGAGAATCACTTGATTTTTTAAAAATTTTTATTTATTGATTTTAAAGAGAGGAAGGGGAAAGAGACATCGATTTGTTGTTCCACTTATTTAGGTATTCATTGGTTGCTTCTTGTACATGCCCTGACCAGGGATCAAACCCACAACCTTGGCATATTGAGATGGATGCTCTAACCAACTGAGCTACCCAGCCAGAGCCACTAGATGTTTAAAAGGTATTGTGGTTGCCCTAGCCGGTGTGGCTCAGTTGGTTGGATTGTCGCCCTGTACACCAAAAGGTGGCAGGTTCGATTCTCGGTCAGAGCACATACCCAGGTTGCAGGTTCTATCTCTGGTTGGAGCATGTGCAAGAGGCAATCGATCAATGTTTCATTCTCTTTCTCCCTTCCTCTCTCTAAAATTAATAAAAATACAAGGTATTGTGGTTACTATTGAGGAGAAGAGAAGATGAACAATAGAGTTATGTAATACTAAAGACCTTTCTTTTAGCCTGTAAACAGTGTTTAAGTCAAGTAGCACCACCTTGTGTTGTAGTAGCTTTCATGATTATAGATTCCTCCTTATCCTATCAATAGATACTAATTTCTTCTGAGTTAAGACTTTGCTTCTGTTAAAATGAACATAGTCATAAGAATGGGTAACCAACAAACTGTTTTCTTTCACTCATAATTTGTGTTAAATTTAAATTCATTTACCAAAATTGCTAATTACCAAAAAAGGCTCTGTAGGAATGGAGAAAGGCTTAAAAAGATGGGAATGGAAACAGCTGAGAGGATGGGCATATTCGTATTGGTATTCCAAGAATAGAGATTAGAAAAGTACAAAAATAAATATATCACAATTAATTTCTGGTAAGCATTATATATGATTAACATTAGCAGATAATTTAGCATTGATGTGAAAACTGTCCTACTTCCTGGATGTTGGGGGAAAGGTTTTCTTTCACTTATGCAGAAAGTACAAAATAAAAATGTTGATTAAAGAATCCATCTTTTTTTATTACTGAAAGTATTGCAATTTTTTTAATGTTTAAAAGCAATTTTTTAGATAGCGCTGATTTTATGTAAGTAAGCTCCTTTGATAATACCAATTTTCTGCTTTCAAAATATTATTTTTGGACCTATCTAATTTGTTACTCTTCATATCTGGCAAATTTTTATTGATTTAACCATTTTTAGTAAAACCACATAAGAGTACATGCTAGAAGTTGACTATCTTCAAAATTAACACTTCTTTTCTCTTTTCTCAGAATGAACTCACAGATACACGTGCCAAATTCCACGTACTTTTTCTTTTCTTCGTGTCTACAATGTTCTTCATCAGCGTCCTATCACTTTTCAGCTATCACTGCTGGCTAGTTGGAAAAAATAGAACAACAATAGGTAAGTAGGTCAAAATTAATCATAATGATTTAGGGAAATGACCATAAGTGAATATGAAATCTAGAGGACAATAGATGATAAAGAAGTGTAAAATAATTATATGTGAAAATTCACCGTGACTGGACAGGAACAATGGGTGTATGTAATGTAAAGGTTGAAGAAGTTAGATTGACTTTTATATATTTTTTCAGTAGCTCATTGTATATAAAAGTAGAGAACAAGACATATTTTAATACAAGCTACTTTCTGGGAGATTAAAAATGGTGGTGGAGTAAGTGGATACTACACCAACATGTCCCCAGGACCAAACTGGATTTACAACTAAAATACAAAAAAAAATCCTGAATAATCAACTAAAGACTAGCTTGAGAGAACTCTGATAACCAAGGATGAAAAGTGGAAGACCACATAGAGACTGGTAGGAAGGACAGAGGTGCAAAAAGGCTGGCTGGGCTCCCACAGATAGCAGCTAAAGTTCTGGAGAGAGAGCTCAGCTGTGGGTGGTTGCCACTGAGAAATCTGGGGTCTAATCCCCAAGCTGGGTCCCCCAGCAGAGAGCAACAGAACTGAGAAAAGTGCCCACATAACATCTGTCTGTGAAAAACAGCAGATTTGCTGTCTGCCAGGGAAAGACAGCTAGAAATGCAGGCACCCTCTTAAAGGGCCAACACACAAAATTTTGTGTGCAGCCACTCACCTTGAGCTCCAGCACAGGGAAGGCAGAGTGGACTGGAGCTATGTGACCAGAAGCCAGGGTTGGGGGTTCTGGACTTAGAGCTCAGAAGGCAGATACCCTGGTTTCCTGTGCTGATTCATTCCCTCACCCTATGGAGGTCATCTTTGTCAGGTAGACTTTGGCTATCCAGGCAATTTTTGTCAGGGGGAGAAGACAGTTGACCCACCCTACTGGAAAACCCCTGGCCCACCGTGTGGAGTTTTTGAGGCCCATTAAGAGATTGAGAATAACAATTAGCCTCCAGGCAGAAGCAGTTGCCCCACCCTGTTGGAAAACCTAGCACTGCACATGTCGATGATTGATGATCTGAGGGCTACTCAAGAGTAAATCCAATCAGTCTGCAGAGAGCAGCAGTGTCTGGAGGCCTTGAGTCTTTGCCCAATCTAATTAATCAGAAACAGCATTTGACACTGTCCTACACTTGAGATTGGGTGGTGTAGTAGATCTACCTAGTACATAGTCACAAACCCAAACAGGCAGCCAAAATGAGGAGACAAAGAAACACCCCCCAGATGAAAGAACAAGAGATTTCTCCAGAAGAAGAGCTAAATAAATTGGAGATAAATTTATCTGATACAGAGTTCAGAATAATGATGGTAAAGATGCTCAACAGCATGTGAAAAGATATAGTAACTCTGAAGAATGACAGAATTAATAAAGAACACAGAGGAAAGAATACACAACAGAATAGGGGAAGCAGAGCATCGGATCAGTGAATTAGTAGATAGGGTAGAAAAAAATCACACAGAGAACCAAAAAGAAAAAAACAATTACAAAACTGGAGGACAGCTTAAGGGAGCTGTGGGACAACATGAAATTGAATAATATTTGCATCATAGGTGTGCCAGAAGAAGAGAGTGAGCAAGGCATAGAGAATGTGTAGGAAGAAATAAGGACAGAAAACATCCCTAACCTGGTGAAGGAAAAAGGAACACAAGTTCAGGAGGCACAGAGAGTCCCAAAGAAGAAGAACTCAAAATAGGCCCACATCCAGACACATCATAATTAAAATTCCAAAAATAAAAGAGAGAGAATCTTAGAGACAACAAGAGAAAAGCAATTTGTTACCTACAAAGGAGCTCCCATAAGGCTGTCAGATAATATTTCAGAAATTCTACAGGCCAGAATGGAGTGGCATGAAGTATTCAAGGTAATGATAAGCAAGGATCTAAAACTAAGATTACTATATTCAGCAAGGCTATCATTCAAAATAGATGATGAGATAAAGAGTTTCCATGACCAAAAAAAAGGCTAAAGGAGTTTATCACCACCAAACCAGCACTGTAAGAAATGTTAAAGGGACTGCTGTAATGAGCAGAAATAGAGGGAAAGAGAAAACTAGGTATACGGAATTAAAATGGCAATAAATAAGTTCCTATCAATAATATCCTTAAATGTAAATGGATTAAATGCTCCAATCAAAAGACATAAGGTTACTGAATGGATACAAAAACATGACCCAATTATATGCTGCCTACAAGAGACCCATCTCAGAACAAAAGATACAAACTGAGAGTGAAGGGATGGAAAAAAATTTTCCATGCAAATGGAAACTAAAAAAATACCTGGGGTAGAAATACTCATATCTGACAAAATAAACTTCAAATTGAAGGCCATCACAAGAGACAACAAGGTTTAATATATAATATTAATAAAATATTAATAAATTTATTATATAATATTAAAGATATTGATCCAACAACAGGATATAACCCTGGTAAACATATATGCACCCAGTATAGGAGCACCTAAATATAAAAAAAAAGACTTCTAGAGGACTTTAAGGGAGAGATTGACAGGAATACATTCATAGTAGGGGACTTTAACACTCTGCTTACTTCACTGGACAGCTTTTCCAGACAATAAAATTTACAAGAAAACAGGGACTGTAAATGACACACTCGATCAGATGGATTTAATTGACATTTATAGAACATTTCATCCTAAAGCTACAGAATATACATTCTTCTCAAGTGCACATGGGTTATTCACAAAGATAGACCACATGTTAGGACACAAAACAAGTTTATACAAGTTCAGGAAGAATGAAATCATATCAAGCATATTCTCAGATCACAATGGATTGAAATTAGAAATCAACTATAGTAACAACACTCAAACACCTGGAGGCTGAATAACATGTTATTAAATAATGAATGGGTTACCAATGAGATCAAGAATAAAATTAAAAACTTACTGGAAACCAATGAAAATGAACACACAACAACCCACAATCTATGGGACACAGCAAAAGCAGTCCTTAGAGGGAAGTTCATAGCACTACAGGCCTACCTCAAAAAAAAAAACCACAAGAAAAATTAATAATAAATTATTTAACCCTAAAACCTAAAGAATTATAAAGATTACGACAAGAAAAGCCCAGAGTAAGTAGAAGGAAGGAAATAATAAAGATCAGAGCAGAAATAAAGAACATAGAGACTAAAAAAGCAATATAAAAAGTCAATGAAGCCCTAACCGGTTTGGCTCAGTGGATAGAGCGTCGGCCTGCGGACTGAAAGGTCCCAGGTTCGATTCCAGTCAAGGGCATGTACCTTGGTTGCGGGCACATCCCCAGTAGGGAGTGTGCAGGAGGCAGCTGGTTGATGTTTCTCTTCATTGATGTTTCTAACTCTCTATCCCTCTCCCTTCCTCTCTGTAAAAAATCAATAAAATATATTAAAAAAAAAAGTCAATGAAAACAAGAGCTGGTTCTTTGAAATGATAAAAAAGATTGATGAACCATTAGCCAGATTCATCAAGAAACAGAGAGAGGACCCAAATAAATGAAATCAAAATGAAAGCAGAGAAGTAACCACTGACAGCATAGAAATACAAAGATGGTAAGAATATACTATGAACAACTATATGCCAACAAGCTGGACAACGTGGATGAAATGGACAAATTCCAAAAGAACTACAGTCTCCCAGAACTGAATCAGAAAACCTAAATAGGCCAGTAACTACTGAGGAAATAGAAGCAATAATAATAATAATAATAATTAATAATAATAATAATAATAACTCCCAGCAAACAAAAGCCCTGGTCCAGATGGCTTCACAGGAGAATTTTACTAAACATTCAAAGAAAAAACTAACACCTATACTCAAACTATTCCCAAAATCCAAGTGGAAGGAACACTTCCAAGTTTTTTATTGAAGCCAGCATTATCCTAATTCCAAAACCAGATAAAGACACTACAGAGAAAGAGGATTACAGGCCAATACCCCTGATGAACACAGATGCTAAAATCCTCAACAAAATATTAGCAAATCGAATCCAGCAATATATTTAAAAGGTCATGCACCATGACTACTTGGGATTTATTCCAGGACATATATAGAACTGGTACAATATTTGCAAATCAGTAAACATGATAAATCACATAAACAAATGGAAAGACAAAAATTACACGATCATATCCATAGATGTAGAAATGGCATTCGACAAAATCCAAAAACTATTTTTAATAAAATCATATCACAACATATTAAATGCCATATATGACAAACCTACAGCCATCAACATACGCAATGGGCAAAAACTAAAACCATTCCCCTAAGAACAGGAACAAGACAAAAATGTCCACTTTCACCACTTTTATTCAACATAGTACTGTAAGTTCTAGATACAGCAATTAGACAAGAAGAAATAAAAGGCATCCCAATTGGAAATGAGGAATTAAAACTCTCATTATTTTCTGATAACATGATTTGTATGTGGAAAGCCCTAAAGACCCCACCAAAAAACTACTAGATTTAATAAATGAATTTGGCAATGGAGCAGGATACAAAATCAATACCCAAAAATGGATGGCTTTTTTATATACCAATAATGAATTCTCAGAAAGAGAAGCTAAATAAACAATCCCATTTACCATTGCAACAAAAAAATTAAGATACTTAGGAATAAACTTAACCAAGGAAGTAAAAGACTTGTACTCAGAAAACTACAGGACATTGAAAAAAGAGATAGAGGAAGGTAAAAACAAGTGGAAGAATATATCATGTTCATGGGTTGGTAAAATTAACATCATTAAAATGTCCATACTACCCTAAGCAATCGACACATTCAATGCAATCCCATTAAAATACTAATGGCATATTTCACAGATCTAAAACAAATACTCCATAAGTTTATATGGAACCAAAAAAGACCCCAAATAGCCACAGCAGTCTTGAGAAAGAAAAACAAAGTTGGATGAATCACAATACCAGATATCATGTTATACTACAAAGCCACTATAATCAAAACAGCCTGGTACTG